ATTTTTTTTATAAATTAAAAAAATAAGAATATTAAAATTTACAAAATATCCTAAATTCAAAAAATTCACGAATTTATGTTATTTTAGATATTAAATAATATCAATTTTAGTCGAATAATTAAGTTTTAAATCGAAAGAGAAAAAATTGTATAATTATTAGCTTAACTTTTTTTTTCAAATTTTTATCGACTTTAGTTTTTCCACTTTCTCTCACAATTGCAATTTGCCATCTAAAGGCACCGTTTCCCTACCAACTCCACCTTTGCTCTTATCGCGTGGACATAAATCTGTGCGGCGCAATCTACGCTAAGCCGGTTGCTGTTCAACTTATGTTTAAGTTGAAAATTAGTCGAAAGCTAATTAACGATAAGCGTTTGGCTGTTGCCCGAAGCTTGAGCCAAGGCAGCCCAAGTTAGCAGCAGTCGAAAAGTTTTAATGCATTTATCGAATGACTCGGGTAGCAGCAGCTAAGTGCATATTATCGGGCATCTATTTCAATTTCCTGCAGCAATTACAAGCCTCTGTACAGCCCCTTGCCCCGCTTTGCCCTGCCTTGTGTTGCCGAATGTAGGTATTCCCCTCGGACCAGGTCGAAACCAGTTGCTGCTTTTACGTAGATACTTTTACATGGTCTGTGGCCCGCCCGTAGCGCCCACGCGGTGCGACCTTTAGCCTGGCGCAGTTCAAAGGCGAATGCTGCCAAATTGACTTTCTGTGCGCTCACTTCGTGCGCGAGAGTGCAGGGAAATTTTACTCAATTTTACTCTCATCGCGTGCGCACACGCGCTCAGCCAAACCGGTTTTCGAGTGAGACTCAAGCAATTGAGTTCGACTCGCGTATGAGCATGGGAAGAGAGGGAGAGAGAGTGTGAGTGTGTGCGTGTGTGTTGGAGAGAGGGGACTGCCAGCTGAGCAATGCATTTGTTCCACTTTCTGAGCACGTTTTTTCGGCCAACATATCACGACGACGAGGAACCTTTGTGCATTGAGTTTTGCTGTCCGGCTTTTGGTCAGCATTTGGGTTGCAGCTGAAATGAGGCGTGCCCAGGACATTCACGTTCCTGTCCCATCCTGGTTACCAACGACATTGGGGCAGGAAGGCAGGAAGTACTGTGCCATCCCAAGGGACACATAATGGCCGAGATTTGAGCACTAGCTCCTTTTTCTATTTCATATATATACACTATTTTCTGGGGCATTTAAAGTATATGTGTCTTGTTTTTGAATAGGAAACTTATAGAGGATTTTGCAGAGCTCATTAGTAATTTATATATAATTTTTTTATGCAATATAAACCACTTTATAGGCAAGCTACAAATTTATTTAATCTAACATTTGATATATTTCTGTTGAGTATATATAAAAGTTCTTTTGTAGCAATTTTAAAGCTTAGGAATCCTTAGATTTATTTAAACTGCTCAGCTGTGTTTCCACTCTAAGCTGAACTATAAAAGCGAACGCACAGCTGCCAGGTTTATAAACTAGAATCGTGTTTTCCTGCTGCTCGGCTTGGCTTGGCTTTTGGCCATAAATCCAGGACGAAACGTTGGCTTATCGAATACGCTGTCCGCCCCGTTGCTCATTATAAGCAAACACAGAAGTTTTCGCTGCTACAATTTGGTTTTTGCTTGAAAACCGTTGAAAACTTGAAAACTTGGTAACTTTAAACGCCTCGAAATGCGTCACGAACGTGACCGGAGCGAAGTTTTCTTTAAGCAAAAAACCCAAAGAGAACTATGGCGAACGTCTTTTGTCTTTGCTGGCCAAAAAGGCAAACGATTCAAACTGGGTCAGCAATGAGGACGTTGAACATTTAACAAGAATAAAAAGAAATAAAAAAAAAAAAAAAACATGCGGCAAAAATTGCAAAACGCTTCTTTAAGGCAAAGCAAGGCAAGGACTTGAGGAGTTGAAGCATCTCAACTCAGCTGTGAGCCCAACTCCGAGTGAGCTATAAAATTGAGCGTGAAAATATTCCCGCGCCAATGAGAGCGAGCGAGTGAGAGGGTGGGTGGCCACTCACTACAGCCGGCTGTCGCTCTCTGCGTGTGCATTCCACTCGTTGTGTGTTGGGCACAAACTTTACCTTCCGCTCGCAGCACGAGAGGCAATTCAGTCAACCACGAGCCGCTCCAGCGAACGGACGCAGTGCGCGGGCCAAATTGCAGACGAAAATAAATACAATATTCGTATTCGGGAGTTCGACCAATGACTATTTATAGACTCCGTTTTGTTTACGTGTCGTGACGTGTGTGCCAACAACATTCACAACATCGACAGCAGCAGCAACAATAGCGAATCAGTGCTAACAGTGGCAAACAGTTAAATAAAAAGTAAATACAAAAAAAGAAAATACAAAGTCAAGAAAGTCACAGTCATGGCAGCAGACATGTCACTAGCCAGCACCACGGATTATCCGCTGCCAGAGACAACCACGATGCCCAGCAGCGGGGAGCTCTATGCGGAGTTCATCTCGGCACCGGCCAGCAGCATGAGTCCCGCTGCCATCGCCGAGCACATGCAGCAGAATCAAATCACATTCGAGATACCCACAGCGCACGATCTGCGCCACATCGATGCGCTGCACTCGTTCAACACGCTGCTGCAGCGGATTGGGAATGCGGCCGGCAGCTACGACTCCGCGCCCCCGGCCAGCATCAGCACCGAGCAGCTGTCCAATTCGGTGGTGCTCGATCTGGCCGATCTGCGGGAGCACAATGCCGATGCCGATGCCAATTCCACCTGGGAGCAGATCTTTGGCGATGCCGACATGCACGCCATTGTCAACTATCTGTGGATTGGCGTTGTCACCTCGCTGGTGGTGCTCTCCCTGGTGTTCATCATGTTTAGCTGTTACTTCTATCGCAAGTTCAGGACCTGGAAGAAATGCAGTAAGTACTCATTGAGCAGCCCTCGATCTGCCCCCTCAACCCTCCTTACCGCTCCCTCCACCGTGTTCATGTGCTGACTTTGTGACTCTAATCAAAATGTGGGGCTACGACCTTATCAACGGCCATTTATCCAGCTGTTTTGGCTGCCAGGCTAAACAATATAAAATGCAGAAAAGCAACACTCACACGCACACACACCCACGCACTCACGCGCCCCTTACGCCCCTCGGTTATGGCCGTAAGTCTCATAAATTTTGGCGCGCTTCGAAATTGTCAGCCGCCTCGCATTCCCATGGCTTTGGCCGTTGTAATTTTAGATACACAAGTTTATGATGCCACAAAATATATGCGCTGCATATTTATAATATTCAACTGACCCAGCTGCCCCGCCCAGCCGTGCGCCCCCTTTACGAGCGTGATAATGTGGAAGCTGTGCGAAATTTGTTTCTCTTTCAGAGAGAGGGACAGAGAGAGAGAGAGAGAGAGAGAGAGAATGGCGTTAAATTGTCTGTGGCAGCAGGAAAGTGGACAAAAAATTCAACTGAGCTGAGTGATATATGAGCATTATTATAATGGGGTAATTCAGTCTTATCGCAGTTACAGCAGCAACAGAGGCCAATGAAATAAAAACATAGATATATATTAGCTGATAAGCTGGCGAGTCATATGGCCAAAAGTTCATAAATGCTGGCTTAAACAACGGCTTGAACTAAATCCAGTTGTTGGCCAGAAACCTGTTGCTCGTTCGGCTGGTTTGGGCCAAGAGCTTGCAAACAAATAGCGCAAAGTAAATCATATGCTTAGGCACTTTACACATAATTAGAAGCAAACGAGCTGTGCACACACACACACAGATAAGCACACACACAGGCGCACGCTAAACCTGGAGAGTACGAAAACTAAACAAGTCTCAACTCGAGTGTCAAACTTTTTGCAGACCAATTTAGCCAAATGATTTATTTAGGCCAACAAAGAGAGTAGAGCAAGAGCAAGAGACAGCGAGTGAGAGAGAGACAGAAACCGAGCGTGTGTTGTACAAGTTGTGGGCCGGGCCAAAGGCCGTGGCATTAAAGTATGGCCAACTCAACTGTCAAACTGTCAATTTCGTGCTAACGAGCCTTAAAAACTTTCCGCCCCAAAACAATGTTAGCCCGAGCAGAGGCTAGCGGGACTCTAGTTAGTGGTAAGGGCCGGGCCACTACGTAAAATATCAATTTGAGCTTTGAGCGATATGTGTGCTAGCCGCTTTTTTTTTTTTTTTTTTTTTTTTTTTTGGGCGCCTGTGCGTCTAATTAGTTTCGTTAGTGTCGTGTTTGGTTTTACTTTTTGGCTCTGTATTACGTGCTACGTGTTAGACTGGCCTACATAGATAGCACACACACACACATACATACGTGTATATCTATATTTATGTGGAGTGTGTCTAGCTGTGGTTGCTGCAGCTCACTGCGCTGCCTCTGCCACACGTGTGTCATTTATAATTAAGCAACTTTGGCTTAAGTTTGCTCGATTTTCGTAGCACGCTTTTCTGCGTTTAATGCTGGCTACGTGTGCCCCGCCCCCTCGCTCGTGCCGACCTACCTGTCTGCCCAGCTGGCTGGCTACAAGCACACCGAGTGTGCTTACCTTATAAATACTTAACGAGCCGTAGATGCCAGGCAGCCTCTGCCTTGGTCTTACAGTTTATTTATTAAGCAAGGCTATACTCACACACACACACACATGCATACACACACGCACACTGTTTCGACGTGTAGCAAGTTTTTGGCTTGTTATCAATTAGAGCCGCACACAACTGAATTTATTAACAGGACAACAGCCAGCGGCGCCAGGCACTTGTGAATTAAAGCGAAACAGGACGAAACAGGAGCTGCTGCCACTGTTTATTATGTTGTATAGGTTGTGCATAATTTACATCCGTAAAAATGTAATTAAGCGTAGCCCAAAAATTTGCCCGCAGAAAACCAAAGAGAGAGAGAGAGCGAGAGAGAGAGAGGCAGAAAAAAAGGGAAAAACTAACGGCCACAACTTTCCCTCAGTTTTGCGAGTCTTTTCAATTTTTAATGGCTTCTGTGGCAGGACGCAGAACTAGCTCCAGCTCCACCTAGCTAGCTCCACCTACAACCAGCTCATGTTTTGTATATTTTAGTTCCCGTGTTTGGCTGGCTTTTGGCTTTCAGTTAGCAGAACGCAAATGGCGAATTGTAATTAACCAAATTGCTTTGTTGCTCGAGAGCATTTAGTGTGCGCAGCTTATTGAATTGAACCAGATTCAATTTGTGCAGCACTCTCCAAAAAATGGCAGCGGTACGAGCAGTGCGAAATTTCATTTGAGCTGCTCCACTCAGCAATCAGTTTTCATTGACATCAGCTGCGAAAGCGATTAAATGTAATAAAAGCTGCCCTCGAACCGTTGAGCGTGTTAAAAAATTAACAAACATTTATGAAATGCAATATATAAATACTCAGCCAAACATATACGTATATACACACACACACACACACACACACCCATTCACATTCACATTCACATGTCTAGTAAATAAAAAAACACAATGCGAATCGAGCTCAATTGTTGGGCTCTTCAGCATTCGTCAGCTCATTGCAATGAATTTAAATTGTTGCATACATTGGGGCGCATCAGCCGAAATGAAAAAACATGCCACAAATGTAACAAAAGCCAAAAACAAATGGCGTGCTAATTTTTTTCCCAACTACTGCTGCAGCTGCCAGTTCTGCTGCTTCCTTCCATTTTTTTTTTTTTTGCTTTTTGGTTTTCTGTTTTTTAGCTCCTTTGCATGCTGTGGACTGCCCCAACACTTGCATAAAATATGAATCCCATGGCATGTGTGTGTGCGTGTGTGTGCCACGCCCACTGCGGACTACTATGTGCTTGGCCGTCGTGTTTGCCGTCTGTCTATCAAAAAATAAAACAAAAGTCAAATGGCTCTCTGCGAGAGTCCTCGGCACCCAAAAAATATACGAGCTTGCACTACAGTTATAACAATAAATCAACAGCCGCCGCCAGCAGCACAGTGACTGCTGCCAGTATGAGTGCGAGTTCCCACTTCGACTGTGTGACTGCTGTCGGGCTGGGGGTTTTAATATTGTAATGCGCCAATTTTTGCTGTGCCACGCCTCCTCGTCTGCTACGTACCTCCGCCCTACCCCATCCCCCCACCCCTGAAAAAAAAGAGGCACAGTTGCTTTAATGGAATCCATGTGGCCAAAATATTTCTGAGCACACAACAAACAGAAAAGCGAATTGAACGCAGCACAAAAAAAAGTTAAATTAATTTCAATTGAAATTTATAAAAAAAAATCGTAAAAATAAGCTTAAAATATAAATAATAATTGCTTGCACTGACAATGCGAAAAAATGCCGTATTCAGCTGCTGTCTGCAGGAGGTGGCTTTCATTTAATAAATGCAGCTTAAATTGCATTTAATAACCGCAACAATTTGTGGCAAGGGTAAACAATAAAAGCCACCTTCAAATTGACAAAGGATTACAATTATATAGTGGATATATCTGGATAAGCTCTTCTGTTGGGCGATGTTTCCACGAACTGTTCATTTCAGGCACTACACAAGTAATCTCTCGTTCATTCAGGTTTGCTTTAAAGCGACTTTTCTTTTCAAGCGTGAAAACTGATGAATGCAACAAAATTTCCCATTTCGCGTTGCATAGTTTACGGGCGGAGCTTTTCTCTACATTGCTGCATCTTCTTTAATATTTATTTCGCTCTTTTTCCGTAATTCGTATTTTCGTTTCATTTGTGCCACGCGCGCACTTCCGGCCAGCTTATTGCCAGCTTGCTGTTGTTGTCAGTCAGTCGGACGGGCAGACGGACGGACAGACAGTCGGCCGGACAGTTGGTTGTTGTGCATGAGAAACTTTTGCCTGTCCGGCCAAACTCGCAGGCATTTCCGGTCGGCACAAAAGTTTTTCTCCCTCTCTCTCTCTCTCTCTCTGTTTCACTTTTCTGTCCGGGCTTATGCTGTTTTCTGTTTTCCTCTTTTTTTGTATTTTTTTCAATAAATGCTGGAGAGGATCCTGTTCATGTCCTGCCATTCACAAAGTTCAAGCGTTTGCGCCTTTACGCTAAATTGAATTTAATGGCAAACTCCTCTCCCTATGCCCCCCCTAAGCCAATCCAACAAGTGTCCCTTCAGTGTGTGCGAGTGTGTGTGTGCATGTCTGTGTGTGCGAGTGTGTGTGTGTGTAGTCGCAACAAACAAACTAATGAGACGTTTGTCAAAGTCAAAGTCAAAGTTGGACAGCCGGAGCAGATACGGCAAAGAAATGGAAGCAACAACTAACCAACTTTCAACCTTTTTTCGTATTTGCAGACAAGGACATACGCGCACAGCTGCATGCGGCCAGCGACTCGTACTCCTCGCATGGAGCCAGTCATCACCTGATCAGCTACGACGCCAGCCGATTGCTGCAGCAGGTGCCCGGCAATGGCAGCGGCAGCGCCAGCGGCAATGGCAGCTCACCTGGCGGGGCCAATGAGGCGGGCTTCTATCAAATTGAATCGCCACCCTGTTATACAATTGCCACCGGGCTGCCCAGCTACGACGAGGCGCTGCATCATCAGCCGCGCCATTTTGCCTACGGCATGAAGTTCGTGTACCCCAGTCTGGCGGCTGTGCATCATCATCATCATCATCACAGTCACAGTCACAATAATCAACGTGCGTGCATTAGCGGCTGGGCAAAGGACGCAGTGCAGCAGAGCCCGAAGAAGAAGCTGCAAAAGTGCAAACTGTCAGCAACAGTCGATCAGGCACAGACACAGACACAGATGCAGTTGCAGTTGCAGGCGCAGGCACAGGCACAGGCACAGGCACAGGCACAGACACAGACAGAGGACAAAGCCTCGCCAACCATTTGCATTAACATGCCGGATGAGCAGGAGCTGCGGAATGAGCTGGAGCTGGACGTGGAGCATCGAAATGCGACGTCCACAGCAACGTCGACTTTGCTGCCGGCAGCAGCTGCTGACGACGATTGCGCCTCATTGGTGGTTGTTGTTGCCGCGTGATTGCCCAGCAACTAAAGAGCCGACCGAGACGGAGAGGGAGAGCGAGAGGGAAAGGGAGTGGGAGAGGGAGAGGGACAGAGGGAATTGGGAATTTGGGGAAAATTGGGCATAGTTCGGGGCTCGGAGATCATGCTTACATGCTTAGTCACTTGTAAATAGCTGAATCGTCTGTCCCCACCTGCGAGTCGGGTGAGTCCTAGTAGAGTCCTATATAGAGCAGCACACTCGATAGCAAAAAAAAAAAAGAGAAAGTATAAATCCTATAGCCTATATGTGTAAATGATTTGAGTTCGTTTTAGTTATTTGTTATATATATATATCATGTATTATGCAAGACTGAGTATTATTTATTGTATCTATAAAACGTAATTTTAACAAATTGCCTATCGATTATGCCTAAATGTTACTAAATAATATCGCAAAAAATATTAAAAAAGAAATATAAAGCTAGAACCAACCATTCAAGCAAATCAAAAATTTAATTATTACCATTTTTGTTTTATTTCACTTTCACTTTTACTTAAACTTTTAATTTTACTTCCTTGACTTGGTATTTAAGTTCAAACTGTTTGTTGTCCTTGAATGGAACGATCATGATGTTGATCTAAGGAACGTGAGGCTGTCTGTGGCCAGCCTAGCAAACAGTTAATTCGACAACAATATCTGGCCAAGATATGAGCAGCACTGGATCAACATGTTTGCCCAGCTTAATGCCAGCCTCAGAAAAGAGTCTACAGATGAATTAGTTCACTTATTTGCATTTGATTTCATATCGATTAAAGTTTATTGAGATTAACATAATGTTAAAGAATTGGTTTCAATTGCAGTGGCACCTCTTGATCAAGCACAGTTAGCTCATAAAATGTTGCAGTTACTACAGCTACATATAAGTAGTGAATAAAAAGGTTATATTAAATTGAAATTCGAAAAACAAATGAAATGAAAAGAAAAGAAAAACACAGAATGAAACTAATTACATACATATACGGCAGCTAGCATCTAAAACTAAATGAACTTCACGAATTAATTAAATAATGAAATTAATAAATAAATATTGTCAAGTATGGTAAACAAATATAACAAATCGGAATCGAAAACTGTAATGTCTCTTAACTGCACAGGGAATTGGAATGCTCAACCAGGTAATGCTCGCTCACGTGTTGGCATAAATAATTTCATGTCAAATTTAACACTTTTGTTGAGGCTTGTGCGCTCCTCAGATGGTAATGCTGCAATTTGTATTCAAATGTACGATTTGTTGGTGAGTCGAGGTGGGACAGGCCGACTGTCCGACTGAGAGTCGAACGGCCAGACGGACAGACAGACGGACGGACGTTGTAACACGCCGCATCAAACATAGCAAAATGCAGCAGAGCAACAAACACCAAAACAGGGCCATAAATTATATTATCGTGCATCGTGTATCTGGTGCAGGTCACAGTCATGAGTGACTGCCAGCTAAACTGTCAGCAAGGGAGGGGGGGGAGCAGGCGGCGTGGGGCGGCGTCTCTGAAAGCTGGTAATGACATTAACACCAGCAGCAGTTGCAGTCAACGTTGGGCTTGGTGTCGCGGTCGTGTTTTACGTTCTTGCCATGATTTGCTGCACAGCACAAAATCAAATAAGACGCAAGGGAAATATTATTTGCATTTAACAGTCGACTATTGCATACTCTGCAAACGAAGCTCTATGATTATAGTGAAGCCAATGCCTATACTCAATGAATTAAATATAGCAAATAATAGTTAATTATATATTTTTAAAGAAAATCCAATTTTCATGAAATTGGAAAATGACTAATCTAAACTATCTATTCTATTTTAATTTGACTGTCAAATAATACAAAAATAAGAACGTACAAAATTGAACGTATTAATCAATAGATAAAGCATTTTCAAGTTGAAAATACTATATTTAAAATTCCATATTATTTTCCAATACCATATTCAATTTTTGAAATCGAAAACAAAAAAATAGATAATTGTATATTTTTATAGAAAATCCATTCTTAGCTCAATTGAAAAAATATTTAATAGACCGTTTCAGCAAATAGAATAAAGAGATTGTATTTTTATTTTCAATAATCTATTTAATAAATATTTTCAATAGATTCTATGAAAATATGTATTTACAATATTTATATAGAATTGATATTAGACTTTTGATGTGGTATTCCTATTTCTTAAGTTTATTCAAAATGTAAATGCACCAGGATTGGCCAAGATATCCGATGTAGGCCTGACAACGTGTGCACACGTGTAAATATGTGTCATGGGTAAGGGTATGGGCATATGCATATGCAAATGCATTTCTGTATGTATTTGATGTGAAGTACAAGTACGTTTTTATGGGGTCTGCACGTGGGCTGACCGTAATTGGTCGAACGGTTTATTTTTACAGTGGAGTTCGTATGACAGGTTGCTGGGGCTTGACTTTCAGAGTGATAAATCTTTTGGTCACCTGTTATAAAATAATACTAATGGTATGCGTGTATGTATGTTTGTATAATCTGGAAGAAATCCTTACTATCTGCGTGTATATAAATTCACTGAATCATTCGTATCAATGGGGACCTTGGTGTTGGTCATAGGGACCTAAGAGATTCTCAGCACTAGGATCCCTAATCTCCATTCTTATAGAGTCAAAGACTGTATCTGCGCTTGCTTCTTCTCAGCGTTCAGAGCTTCTTTCTACAAATGGTATTGCATTTGCTCCAGAGTATCCATGTGTAATGCCTCCCCTACCTTTCGTATCAATATAATATAATAAATCGGAAAAAGCATTTGCCCATATGCCACAAATCATATTAGTCGAAGAGCTAGAATGCTGAAATTTGGAATGTAGATCTGTGTCAACCAGCTATGGCGGATATATCTATGCCCATTTGGGGCATGAAAGCTAGAACACTGAAATTTCGCAAGTAGGCTAATGTTATGATTCTATAAAGATTAATGAATTAAATTATATGACTACTTCCATTAGAGGCGTGGCAAATCGGACCTGAAGATATAGTGATTTTTTATACCCTGAACCCATTCGATATAGGAAATCAGGGTATAATGGTTTTGTTGAAATGTATGTAACAGGCAGAAGAAGGCGTGGCTGAGCCCAAAAAGTATATATAGTTTTGATCAGGGTGACGAGCTCAGTCCATTTGGCCCAGTTATTAAAAGCCCTTGACGAAAATCAGTTATAAAATTATATCTCCTACATCTTTAGATTTTCTGTATTTTATATAGATTCGGTTTTTGTTATAATTCACCCCCAACCCTTATATCTTCCCCCTTACTAATAAGTTTGTAAACAGCGTATTTCAAATACTAAAAACTTGTGCTTTGGCAAATACACTCATTTCATTATTATAATCATGATCTACAAGTTTCATGAAGATAGTATATCCGCAAGAAAAGTTAATAAATAATTAATTTCTGTGCCTGTGTGTGTGCGTGTATGTGTGTGTGTGTGTGTGCGAATAATTATTGAAATATCAGTTGCTCAAAGGGGATCTCCTAGTTGAGCAGTCTCGACTAGAGCTTTCTTACTTGTTTGTTGTAATCCACCCATCATCCAAATTCACCATTCCCTAAAAATTTGCAAAATGAATATTTAAAGTACTAGAGGCTTCTGCTTTGGTAAATATACACATTTGTTTGCTATTGTCACGATCTAAGACTTGTGTACAGATAGTCAATATACAAGTAAACTTAGTAACCAATTATATTCGAAGGAACCACAAAGAATAACTCGAGTCAACATATTTAGAGTCGAAAATTTTACTTTCAAGATTTCGAATGCAGACTCCTTCACCTGCAGATATTTCAGATTAATTTCAATAATTTCTGACATTTCATTCTCTAAGATCTGGGCATTATTACTACATCAGTGATCTTCCCACATCTTCGTCTATATCAGCAACTTTAACTTTATCTTCACCAAACTATTGGATACTATCTTCTCTATACCACACTCTGAGCTCAGGAACTGGAAAGACTCTTTCATCGCTAGTGCAATGTCCATCTGTATACTACAATTACAATCAGCTGAATTCTGCCTTTCTTTTTTCATGTTTGCAGCACGGTTTATATTTTCAACCGTTACTTCTTTTCGTATCCTCTAGCGAAAACTG